CATGAACAAGGAGTGAATAGAGTAAAGTAGAGTGATATGATTTAATGTGGTGTGCTAAGGTAAGGTAAGGTGAATGTGAATATAATCAGTATTTTGGAAGCTAGAAGGTGTTGGTATATTCTCACTCTTAAGATGGGATATAGAATGGTGTATATGGATGGATGGGATGGATGGATGAATAGGATAAGATGGGATGGGTGGATGGGATGAATGAGCAGGATAAGATGGGATGGATGGATGGGATGCGATGCGATGCGATATACAATGTGATGTGCAATTGGTGGGAAGAGAGTTTGGAGGAGGGTATTGTGGAGAGGGTATTGTGGAGCGGGTGGAAGGAATTGAGGGGATTTGGGGGGCTATTGGGAGGGAGAGGGAGAGGGAGATGTTTTATGGTGATACCTAGTTAGTGATGGGTAAAATTGGATTTGAATACAGGTTTTGATATTTATAGGTAGTGTTTGATATCTGGATAAGTATTTGTTTATCCTATTTGATGTGGATATAATATCAAGGTTTTGATAGGGGGTGTGGTGAATTTGGGGAGATGATGGGATGGGATAGAATAGAACCAAAGGCTTTGTTTGTAGAGAGAACAGTTTATCAAGATATTCCAAGGTTTATTTAGTGATTGTAAGTATAAGATGGGTGGGTGGTATCTGGAGTTGTATTTGTAGGTGGAAATGGGAATGGGAGTTTGGGATTGAAGGAATTATGATGGGATTATGGGGGTTGGGGGTTGGGTTTGTGTGATGAGTTGGGATGGGATGGTGTATGGTGTTTTGGGATTTGATGGATTGGTGAAGTGCTTTGTGAGTGAGAGGGGACGAAATGAAAAAGAATAAGTTGAGATGTGATGAGATGAAAAATATTAAATATTCTATTGTATAGATATTGAGAGTATTGTTTTAAGAAGTATTAAGAGGAATGAGATAGGTAGTACTAAGAAGACTGGATATATAAGGAAAAGAATCGAAGGCTGGAGAAAAAGATATATTGGAAGGGGAAAAGAGATAGATAGAGTGTGTGAGTTTATCGAAACTGATTTGAGGGAGCGTTGGCTTTATAGTTCAAGTGTGAAATGTGGATGAGATGAGATGAGATGAGATAACATGGTATGGAATTAGAGAGGTGGTATTGAGATTAAGCATATTCGAATTTTTTGATATTATCTTTATAATAGACTCACGTTTGATACAAGCGAGTATTTGAGAAACTCGCAAGAAAGTAGCGGATCCTGTAAAGAAGAACGATCTCGACATAGATTCATAGATTCTCCTCGAGAAACGAGATTCTCTTCTAGTGGAATGACTGGTATTCGATATTCTTCGAATGCAGTTGAGAGCGAACTAGATATCTTAAGCGAGCTTGTGCTACTAAGTTACCTAGATAGATAGATATTTGTAGGGAGGTAGTAGCAAGACTTCTCTTTGTTGAGATAAGAGATGAGTGAATGAAGCATTATTCTCTCCTTCTTACATTATATTACTTAAGTGTACTTGCAGTGTTCTAGACATCCATCATCAGAGGGATAAATTCACCTCAAGTCATATTCATTCATTCAATTTTTACATTTTATATTCCATTTAAGGATCTGTTATTTTCGTCTACCTGCATCTGCATCTGTATTTATATTTCCATACAAATCCGCACCATATTTCCTTTTGGAAACAAAAAGAAGAAAAAAGCATAGTACTTACTTACCACAAGAATCCTACCACTCTGCTAAATATTATCTACCCATCACATAACCACACAACATCCCCCATCTACTCTCCCCGTTCTCTTTCTCCTCACCACACACCGCACACATCTTCTCTTCGCCTCCCTATCCACACGTCGGAGAGAGGGACAGTCTTCTGGAAAACATTTGGTGCGATGTTGATACGAACAGAGACGGAGTCGACGCTCGTAGTGAGAACAGTTGAAATCGAAGATTATGCTCTTGCACATTTTGAGGGTTTGGGTTTGTTTGGGTCTGGGATTCGTGATTGGAGACCGGATTATTTTAGACGGGAAGATATTCAGAATACTCGGGGGTACGGGTTGCGAGAATCGAATGGCAAAGGGGAGAAAGAGTAGCATGAAGGTGGTTATAAGGTGAATTTCTTACATGTAGAACATGAATGAGGGTTATTCTGATAGTATTCTTGTTTCACAATCTAATCGAATTCTGTCTACGTAGAGAATGCAATGGATCAGAATAATGATGGAACAATTCCGTATCCTCAACTTTCGCGGGAACGCGTCTATTTTCTATCTGAGAAATTTGAAGAGAACTCGCGTTACAGGTTCGAATCACCGTCGCATCAAGTCCCGTTGTATTGTATCATCTCAATGTTGCTGTGTCATAGGTTATAAGAAGAATTTTGTATACTAAAAGTTCTTCACCCAGACGACATCATTCACATAGTCTCAAATATTCAAAATGTTTCTAATGTAAAGATTGATACCAGACAGAAAATGCCATGTGATCAACGCGATGATATAGTCCTTTAAGTTTATCAATCATACAATGGCACACGGTGTCACTTGAAATCGTCGACATGTAAAGTTTAGAAACCCTAAAGTTTCGTTTGTTAATGATCAATCATGATGCGCATAGTTCGTATGCTATAAACTTCGAAACTTTACGAGCTACTTGCGGGTCTTACGAGGGGCTCTAGCCATAGTTACTATAAATGTATAGATAGGGAATCATGTCATAGAAACATAAAATCAAATCAAAGGAAGCTAGTTCTTGGAAATAGACGGTTTGAAGTTTAGCCTCCTTTTCGATGAGAGAGAGTAGAGCTATATGAGTACACTTTAAAAGAGCCATGGACGGCTAATTTTGAGCAGAGAAGTTATGAGGACGTTAGCGGAACACCCCAAAGTGTTGTGACTCTACGTCATCTTTGTAGCACTTGCTTATTTGTTTATAAAAGGTCAACTTAGTAAAATTTAGTTCAGAACTCTGATTCTATACAATCTAGAAAATCCCACAATCGTTAGGAGTTGCGAATTAGTATATCCTGATATAAGAAAGAAGCAGCTTCATAACTTCTAACGCCAAGCTGTAGACATCCAAGCAGAATAAACAACGGTGAATCCGTACAAATTTCTTCAACTAAACGCACGCCGGGTATCCGCTTTTGTTTCCAATTCTATTCTCCACTTCTAATTCATCCACCCCAAGCCTCCAACCCATTTCCTTTCATTTCTGTTACTCCCTGCACAACTCAAACATTTCCTTTCCATTCCCAAGTTACTCACAGCACAGGAATGACAGACTTGTTTCCCACAATTCGTACATGCATGATTTGTCTCTCCTGCTCCATACATATCGATGTCCATTATAGTATCTACATCCATTTCGTCACCCCCTTCCGTGTTCGCTAGTGATGCATCGCAATCCTCGCAATTGGTCGGTATCAGGTGAGGATGTGTGATAGTTTTAGGAGAAACAGATGTGGATGATGTATAAGAAGAATCGCTAGAAGGTGAAACCTGACGGTTTGATGGCAATTGCCAGAAAGAGTGGAGTGAGGCTTGGTGTGGAGCGTTATTTGGTGGGTTGGGTATTATGGTATGGGGAGAGATTGCGGAAGGTGAGGGCGGTGGCATGCAGTTTGTATTTATATTTGAAGGTTGCTGAGCTGAATAAAGGAGGGAGAGGGTATGTTCTGTAGAGCTGATTAATATTTGACGCGCAGTTATTGGATTGTTAGAATGAGGACATACGATGGACGGTGTCTTCATTTGGTCGATTATCTCTATGACGCTTCCTAGTACGAGAGGAGAAAAGATTTGGTGATCTTGTTGATGGAGAATCAATATGCATAGAATTAGAGTTGTTGGAGTGCAGAGGACTGGATAGGAGAGATGAAGTGGTTGAGATCTCGGATTCGGAACGCTTGCGTTTGAGAAACATTTTGATTATTGACGACGTGAAATAAGCCTTAGTTGAGCTGATAACTTAATACTATTGATAACAAAATGAGTTGATAGATTGAATAAGACAAGGGGATTTGATGTTGAATTGATGAAAGAATTAGAGAAGGCTGGAACATGGAGCCACTTTACGCGAGGAGACGCGCTAGCTTGATTCACCAATGGGTAGGTGCATGGACTGACGGAAAACTTGTCAACCTTTCAAAATTTGTAATAAATCCATTTTTCGATTGTTTGGTATCAGAATCTATCTCTTCATTTCTTGACCTTTAATAAAGCATTGTAAGAATTCTCGGATCTTACAAACAGAGATTGCGGGTGGTAATAATGCACAATCAATTTTTTGCAGTGTTTCGCCAGTCCATACACATCCACTAATGATTTACAGAACGCGGCTTGAGCTTTGAGTTTGACATTGACCTTCAATTCAAACAGACACAATTAGTTGACCATTTCTCGTTCCTATGCTATTGCTGTTGCCTTTACTACTTCTGTAGCTTGCGAATGTACTGTTGTTAGTCGAGCTTCCAGAGACGAACGTCTCTATTGTTACATTTGAAATCTACTGGACTCACAAGCTCGCCGACTCTGGATAACTGCATGCTCCGATGCGCATCTAATGTATGGCAAGTCATCAAATAGCTCCACTGGTTGCACCAAGGTCTCCCATAATCTCTGTATTTACATCATTTCTTTAAATAAGTGCAGAGTAGCAAGCACCGGAACCCCATGAAGTTTCATGGACTATGAACATGATTTGTACCTTGCGGAAGATGTTGATATCTCAAACATTCGCATTCTTCAAATATTAATTCTACCCTACTAAGGACCACAGATACGACATGCCAGCATGCCATACTTGATTCTGCTATCTACTACTTCCTGGAAGTACTTCTTATGTCTGCGACTAGCTACAATTAATTATCCAAAAACACCACAGTATTCCCAAAACGGCATTGTCTGAAAGCTGGAGTGAAGCTTTCGTCGGAGGCTCCATTCTTCGCCAAGCAAATTACATAGCTTCAACATCGCCACCGACAAACACTTCGTTTCATCTTCTCCATGGTTTACTCAAAGCCAATCATATACTCATCCTCTCGAATTCCCGCAATAACTTGCGGTAACATTGTAAAGATTGGTGGTGATCGAGTCCTAGGATGATTCCTGATCTCTCGACAGATATCAGCGACGTAAACATTAGAGTTCTCTCTTGACCATACCGCATGAGCTCTGATCCAAGATTCCCCTCGAACAATATTAAGAAACAGCTCTGGAGATCCCATCTTCATTCCATTAGTGGTCTCCTGAAGACGTTGCAGTAGATGATCAAACAATTCTGGCAGAATCTCTGTATCAATGCGACAACCCAGAAGTACGATTGAGTTGACTGGTCTTATCTCTAGCGCCTCAAAGCCATTCCAGTCAAGGTAATCTTTCACTTCTTTCTTCTTTGAGCTCCATGTTCCACTGTATCCGCGCCACATAGTTGGGTCATTCATTCTCGACTCTCCGGCTTGGTTTGTGCGGACAGAGGCCATTAGGCTATTTAACCTAGCTCTGTTACCTCTAGCTGACATGATATCGAGAAGCTGAAGGTCTAGATCGAAGTGCGGATGAATATTGTAGTGGTGAGAGAGCGCCTCAAAGTCGTTTCGCACATCCCACCAAACTTGTCCAAATTCCTTGGATTCAAGAATCATCCTCAATGATAAACCATTGTTGCCAACCATGTTGAATACTCGATCTCCTAGAACTTGTACATCAAAGGTGTATGTCGTATTCAGGGACCTAATGGTCATCGTAAAGTAAGTGATGGCTCCGTCTCTTGATAATCCAAATCCGTTTCCTTTACAGCCACAGAAAAGTTCTTGGCGCCGGCTATTTTGGATGCTTGATAGCACCGGAAGAAACTGATTCATTCTGGCGACCGAGTCTATAAGGAAGAAGCGCTTGTCTAAGGCACCATTAGACTTTGAAAACGGGCTGGAAATTGACAAGGATCCAAAGATTCTGGGCAATGAAAGTTAAAATCTACTTACCAAATTCTGTGAAGGTAGCTTTTCTAGCTGGCATATACTCCCAGGATCCATCATCCGTGGTTGGTACATTATCCCAGTCTTCGGCTTCTGTATCTGTTGAGGCAATCGCCGTCGGTCCCATATTATCTTGAGGATCATCGTTTCTGTCAGACCAATCTGCGGCTACCGTATCTGCTTGGTTCTCCATAGTTGGAGATGAAGGCCAACCGACTGCAAGAGTGGTATCGTTATGAATACTATCATCCGCTTGGATATCACTGAGAACAAAAGGCTCGATGTGCTCTTGTTGGATTAAGGGAATCTATGAGGAACAAATCTTAGCATGTGTAGTTCAAAGTTCAAAGGATGCATCAATCATTTCTGTTGATTTACATCTGGCTCTTGCTCACTAGCACTAGATGGTGTTCCAGAATTTTTATGAACAAGCTCAGAAGAAGATGCCTTATCAGACATAGTGATACTGGATGTCTGTAGCTTTCAGAAATTGTATTGGTTTTACAATTCACGAGCCTTTCACAGGCAATGATTGTAAGAGGTGTAAAGAATGCAAAACGAAGAAGTCTCTCTAGCCACTTCTGTTTTTTGGGTGGTGTATCTGCTTGTTGTGGAGTTGTGTTTATTGACTTGTCAAGGAGACTCGAGTTGTTAACCCCCATGAATTGTTAGTTAGCACTGCCTCATGCTAGGCTGGCAAATCTTAAGAAATTTACTAATTTCAACACACGAAAACTTATTACCTGTCATCCGGAACAAAAAGAAATTGGACAGTGATTTACATTGCAGGTGTATATAAAATTCACTCATACAGTTTATCAAGCGGGTCGTGTTTAAAGATGCCTTAACATTTAACTATTCAGGGTAACCCAATTGGGTTAATATTTGAGCTCTTAACTAATGAACAAATGCCTATAGGATCATTTACTTCCTAGGTACCAAATTCTTGTCACTAGTATACATTTATCATGCCCTGGTGTATAAAATATCTAGGTATTGAGGGCGAACTAGCGCCCGCGTTTTTTGGAAGCCGCTGTATATCAGTGGGAGTGCAGATGTAAAGAGGAAATACTCTGTGGTCCCCCTCCTAGATCGAGGGGCTCATTGTCTGATACCAATACGAGATTTGTATCATATTATCATATATTACCACATGATCTGCTATATAACAATATGATTTAGTCTGATGTAGAAAAACATAATCTTTGCGCTATTTTGTGCGAGCTCTCGTGTTGTTTGAGAGCTCTGTTACCAGAAAGTGGGAATGGGAGTACAGACACAAAAGAGGAAATCTCTAATGATTCCCTTTCTTTAAAGCTTTGTAATTATCTCAATTCACATCATTCAATGGTTTTCACTTTTTTTTCAGTATCATTGTATAAAAATTTCCTATGAAATCATATGATTTGGTCATTTATGTAGTGTAGAAAAACAAATCCCCTTTATGCTGTACTACAGCTTTTCTGCAAAAACCTTGGCACGATGATATTATTGCTAGGCTCTAAAGCATTCACTTAGCAAGCCAATCCATACCCCTAATCGGAGAGTCTGCCGTCTTAAGTGTCAAATTTGGGACAACTTTTGGTACTCCTCCTGTCTTTTCGACATCCTATCCTGGTTTTCCTCCCAAAGATTGGTTATTCGGAGAAACGCTGCAGGTGCATCGGCCTTTCCCTCACGAGACCTTGAATCAAAACCCGGAGATATCGCATAGTGAGCTCGAATCACTGATTTTTCGTCGATAAATTGCATCAAGTCATCTGTAGTTGCGAGAAGGGTGGATGGCTTCCCAATGGCATCCATCAGACCTTCGACAGTCTTTCCTTGCGTTATTTCGAGCCAACCTTTCAACCTATTCTGCAGTCATTTATGCAAGCCGTAAAGGCACTCAGTATCGCCTGCAATGTAGTTTCTTGCAGTTCTGGTCAATGGTCTGGTCGTAAGCGGTCGCCAGCCGTTTCGCTCGAAATATGCTCCTCCAGATGCTTTCTCTTTCAGCCAGGTCCTCAACTTACATTAGCTCATGGTATATTGGCCTTCGTATTTCATAATACTGTGTAAGCCAACGATGTTTGACTTCCGGCCAGACCGAGGTAAAAGCTCCATTAGCTGTACATCGCGAGCTTTTCCGATTTGAATCCCAAATTTGTGGAACAGTGTATCCCAATCGCTACGAACATCCCACCAGAGTTGAATTCTGTCATGCGATTCCAAAATTGTCTTTAGAGACAGACCGTCATCATTTTGACGGCCAAAAACAATTCTCTTGAGCTGCCAGACATCGAAGACGTAGGTGATATCGATTGAGATTACGGTCATCGATAGGAAAGAGATATCTCCGGTGCGACCAAAGCCGCCGCCTTGGATAGGCTCCCCATTCTCGTCCTCTTCCGGTGTGCCTTCACAATCAAATGCAAGCTCCACCCCATCCTTGAGGCGGGATAGGACGGGTAGAAATTTGTCCATCTTCTCGAGTGTATCGATGAATACTACTGGCGCGAGTGCATCCAGGCTTCGCTTTGCACCTGTGTTCAGAGCGTTCTCGGCTTCCGCATCTATCGCAGCCATTCGCGCTTCGTATTCGTCAGCAAATGATATCGTGGGTTGTCTCTCCCATGAATCATCTGACTGGGGCCATGACTCGTCTGAATAGGAGTAGCGTCCCAATCAAATTCAGATGATTTGAACCCCAAGTCCTCACTGGAATCTCTATTGCATGATGCAAGATCACGCTCTTGTTCGGCTAACATCTCTTCGACGTAATCCGACCATGAAACTGCCCACTCAAGGTAGGGACTGTATTCCATGTCCTCCTAAAGATACTGAGTTAGTATGAAAACAAACAAGAATAGAAGCCAGGGACATACTGATGCTAAGCTGGACTCGAAGACGTTCTCAAGGGTGTTTTCATTCTCATCGAATGTCTCAACAGAATGTTGCAAGACTTTGACAGATCCTGCTTGGAAAGTTTGTTCGATATTGATAAACATGTTCCTGCGATACTCTGTCTACTCTGTTAGGAGATGAAGTGCTGTAGCTATAATGAACAGGTGTTTGTAGTTGTATCGTGCTGGTGATTCTTCAAGTAGTATAAAAGATTTTACCTGAAGAAAGCTATCGAAGTAAGATTCGTTGTGAGAATAAAAAGGATTTTGACCTGTAGGAGAATCTAATCCTTATAACTAATTTGAACTAACAAGTGATACAGCCATGTATCAAATCTAGCTAGCTGTATTCAAGTGGCTAATCACTGTACTAGGTAAGCGAGCCGTATAGTTACGTGAATCAAGCGACATGGATAATATACGATTCACTGTATGGTTGGATTCTGAGATGACATTGAATGATTTGCGGGTGTACGGTATCAATTGGTTATATATACGAGTAGTACAGTGAACTCTATAGATTCTAAAATCTGGTTTATGATATTATCGATGAGTGAAACCGCACCAGCACATCTGATTAGATAGTATTAGGTATATATAAAATTCACTCATACAGATTGTACAAACAGTGAACATTGGAAACTTTGGCTTCTTATTTGATAGAATAAGTTTCTGGTATATGAGCATAATTCCTTCTAGCAAGTGAAATCGTACCCCGCGGTTATTGCTGCCTTTTTATTGTACGATTGGCAAGACATGGGACATGAGGAGTAATTGTGCTAGGAGACAAACTTTGGAGAAGTTTACTCTATAAACCATTTCATTGAGCTTGTCTACGTGTCTGGATATATATTTGCAATCTTGTTTGACGATAGCTTGCTCACGTCATTTAGTAGAAGGTAGATCACCAGCTTAGGTATAATCTTCCCCTAACATACGTTGCAAAGATGTATCTTACTGATTGCCCCGTGGTCATATGTGAAACCTTTCTTTAGAGGTGACAATCATTTTTTCACCATCAGAATTATCACTACTTCTGCTCACGAATACACCTCAACTGGTTCAATAACTGTTGTAGAGCTTACTTAAAGTCACTTTAAAACAGTTGCAGTTTCTGAAAGCCCTCAACTGCTTTGATACAACAAATACTTTTCTAAGTGTTTTATCGATTCTTTTAAGATTGTATCCAGATTTAAGTAAGGGTTCAATGCCGGTCAAGAGTACTGACTAACACTACGGATGGATTGCTGGTATTGAAAATCCCATTCTACCCTCTGTCGCCATCGAAAAGGTCTTTGGTGAAATCATGGACGAGGGGCCATTTGATGATGAAGAACAAGAGGATCGAATAGATTATTAGTAGCAGCAAATCGACCGATTGCGAAAACGAGAGGTTAATTGTCCGCAGCACTGTAGTTAAGCGACCTTTGGAAAATTTAGCAAAGGTGCGAACAATGTAGCTGTGGAAGGAATGAAAGGAGGTGATATTGATGAATCACTCTTTCGCTATTACTATACTTAAATAATCAGCAAACGTGACTTCCAAACCCTCCAAGGTGATAATATATTGATTAATCCAGTCTCTATATAATCAACCACTCATATACTTATAAATCCTGTCTAGATATTGCTGTATTGGTCACCAAATGGTTCAAGTAGGTAAGTAAAGAACTTTAGACTGCGAGTTTTGATTACTGAACTATGTTAAATCTGAGAAGGGATAGGTACGTAATCGAATGAAAAAGATATACATATCTTAAACAGTTTTTACGTCGACATGAGACATAAATCATCTAAATCATTCTTCAAATTTATCATACCTCATGAGCTCTTCACTCAAGGCAGCTAACATTACTTCCTGCTATTTCATAGCGATAGCTCCTTCCTCCAAATCTCTTCTTGGTCTTAACAGGTAGGAAAGAAGTACTAGATCATCAACATATATAATATGACAAGACCGTAACATCCTCCTTCATTATTTTCCCTCAACTTCCACCACAACCGCAGCCCAATATATCCAAGAATCCGAACTGCAGTCCAACAATACAAGGGTCTGAATATCTCAAAGCCGTTGAAAACCCCAAGATACTTCAATGTCCCAATCAACCTCAGTATCTCAGATGATTCGAATATTCTAATTGGGTTGGAGATTTGGTGATCTTTATTATTGAGCCTGGCTGACCATCCCCCTGAGAGATACTTATCACATCACATCAAATCACGCTCTTCCTACACGACGTTCTTTTGCTGGCGCCGTGCCAACAATATCGCCGTATTGCCGTCTCCCACGCCGTCCTCAAGGGGTAACTGTCCGTCAACAGGTGGCACCGAGCCACTGGCTCGAAATCGTAGCAGAAGCTGCCCTTGTCGCTGTCGAGCGCGGCTTCAGCCACTATAACCGTTGAACCCCCCGTATATGTATATCTAAGTTCTATAGTAAGGATCTCTATACGAGAGGAATGATTCACAAATCATGATACTCTCATGAAGTTTCAAAATGTGGAGCCCTTCACGACAATACAGATTAGTGAGCAAAATATCTGCGTCGATTTCGTAGATACCTTATGCCACCCCCGGACGAATCACATATGCGGTCATTTTCAATGTTGTGGGATTGTCAATTATCGCTTTCTCAATTTAAACCTCCACTGAGACTTTCCTGGTATTTGATTTCTTTGTGTCAGGCTACTTGAAACTTTTCCCCTCTCATCAGGTATAGATGAGAGTGAAAGAAACAAAGAGGTATAGAGGTTGAGAGTATAGAATTGGAGTTTTGAACATGATAATATATATACAATAGACAGTTATTCAAAAAAAAACGAGGATACAAAATTATTCTAAAAACTCCTTTCTATTATCCCGTTCAAGGTGACACCCGCGTTGTATTGTTTGAGAACCCTTGTATCTGAGAGTGGAAAGGGAAAGGGAGTGACAAAAAGAGGAAATTCCTTGTAACTCTCCCCCCTTCTCCCCCTTTTCTTTGATAGCTTATAATTATCCCAATTCATATCATATCCTCACACCACCACCATCATCACCCCACCATCCCCAAACCCCCCATAAAAATCCTCCCCACAGTTCCTAATCCAGATTCATCATTCCATACCCCAAAAATCCTCTTCCCACCATACCCAACTTCTCTAGACAAGGAAAATATACGGCAACATTATTTGATCGCTAGGCGCTATCTAACCTTTATATCTCCACTTGAAGAACCGATGGAGTGAGTATTGAATATTGGATGTTTGGTAGGTGTTCAAATTAATCTATATCGTTTCATACCGAGCCTTTCCATTTCATACCATCTCATACCACAAAACCACAAACGAACAACGTCGCAAGCGACCTCACAAACAACCTCACAAATTAGACTTCACTCCAGCCTCCAGCCTCCAGCCTCCAGAATTCAACATCCAATACCAACATTCAACACCCAAAGTTCAACACCCAACACCCAACATTCAACACCAAACATCCCTATTCCCGTTCCCCATTCCCTTCAAACCCACCCATCCAAGCATCTCATTTCCACTTCCCCCCTTCCACTTCCCCCCTTCCACTTCCCCCCTTCCACTTCCTTACCCTCCCCTCTCCACCTTCCCATCCCCAATCTCCCAATCTCCCAACCTAAACTTCACATCCACACTCCTGATATACATATACATATACATATATACGTATATACAGACAGTAAAGTATACCAAGTGATTGAGTGTACTAAGTGATTGAGTGATTGATTACGTAATGCATGTGATGGAAGCGGGGTATTATTGTTGCGTTATACTGTGGGGATAAGAGGCAGGAGAAGAGATGAAAAGAGGAGATGAGAAGAGATGAGAAGAGATGACAAGAAGAGATGAGAAGAGATGAAAAGAAGAGATGAAAAGAAGAGATGAAAAGAAGAGATGAAAAGAAGACATGAAAAGATGAGATGAAAAGATGAGGAGATAGAAGATAAATAAAAGAGATAATAAGAAAAGATGAGAAAAAGAGACGAGAAGAGCAAAGGAAACAAAACACACCAAAAACACAAGTACCTACTCATACCCAGGTACATACAAACCTGAAGAGGTCTAGGAAGAGAGGAATGGAAGTAGTATATAACATAAACATAAACATAAATAACGAGACTATATATTCCCATGCTTCTCCATCTCATTATACTTCGTAAAGTTAGAAAAAGAAAAGAAAAAGATCAAGAATCACAAAACACATACAGATATAACAACCATCATCCAAGAACAAAATTATGTATTAAAAAGATCACTAAAAGGTAATAAATATTGTAATCCGTAAATCAATCAATCAATCAATCACATCCCTATTCCATTCCATTCCATTCCGTTCCCAAGACATGAAGGTAAACTTCAACTTCATAACTCGATATTCCTTATTCTTTGTTCCGATCTTGCAGCACAAATCATATCATATCATATAACATGACATAACAAGATCTCTGCGAATTTCAGAAAAAAACAGGGAAGTATCTTCAAAATTTCCCTCCCAAAGCATCATTCATACATATACGCATGCATACATATATGATGCCCGTCCTTTTCATCCGCACTGGTATCGTAAACTATCCATCATTTGAATCCGATATCCGCTATCCGTATCCCAGTAAACCAACATGCAAACTCATGAAAACCACTTTCTCCATCTTCAGAACATATCGTAAAATATTTATTTATTCTTTTAGTAATGTGTATGTGTGTGTGAAAAGAAAATTCTCGTCCTTGGAGAAATTTAGACCGTCTCGCGCTCAGTCTTGCCACGACGTTCGCGGCCCTTGACAGACCATGGGAAATGAGCGACGGGAATGACGAAGAAGGAGTTACTAGAAGAAAAATGAGGTTAGTAGATGACACGACGTTGAGATTGGGATATGGGACATACCTATCATCTGCAAGACCAGCCAAAGCATTATACCATGCCATGAAAGCTGCGAACAAGCCGAAATATCCACCCGCCTTGATTGCACCAGAGAGAGCTGCTCCCGCGCCATTAGCTCGCAAGTGACCGATTCCAAGACAGAGGAAAGCCAAGTCGAGGAAGAAGAAGAGGAGGAAAAAGGCAACGGTAGAACGTAATGTGCAAATCAGGAG